CATTGATTAAATATACATATTTATTTAATGGTCATATTTTGCAGTGGTCCTCTATATTTACATTGCTTTCTGCAATAATAACAAATTAACATGTTACACTAAAAAATTTCACTTAAGCTATTTCTATCCATTTTATAAGCAAAACATATCTATAAATAAAATAAAAACTAAAAATGAATAAAATAATGAACCTAGATTAGAACTTATGTAACACGATTATTAACTTTTATGATTACCCGATGGCAATAACTTAATTAGTAGACATTTCCAAAACAAAACAATTATATTTAACATATTTTATTTATATTCACACGAAGGGTAAAATTAGGTATTAATCAATGACTAGCAGTGGCACCGAACACGTACTTTTATGAGGCAGTTCGCCCCTTCATTTAACTATGGTGATGGGTGTCCGGTATTTGGGTGAATAAATTTACACTCTAGTTAGTAAATTTTAGAAATGTACATATTAAGTGACAATCGGTCTGTAGATGGTAGGATACTATGATGCGATAGGGCAATTCACTCTACTTACTTCCTTTAGTAAAGTAAAGTAAATAGGTAATAATTATACCTAATAAATAAATAAATTAAATAATAATAAAAATAAAATAAATTAATACCTACCTAATTTATAATTATCTTGTTTAGTCTGTGTGATTATTGATTTATGATAAAATATAAGGCATTTTTTCGATCATAATTTATATTATTATTATTATGTGCTGTTTTAAGAGGCACTTTTAACAATAAATACAATCGTATTCTAAAATAGACTTAATAGTGCGGGCTGTCAGTTATAACCCCCCCTCCCCGGGGATACGTCACCAATAAATAATACCTACCTAATATATGAAATTATAGTGATAAATTGCGAACGACTTTATGATGGCTAAATTTACAATATAATCATTTAATCATGTAACTTATCATTATTTTGCTCTAACTTTTTGGGTGATGGTAAATTTTTATACTTTGCCCCACCAAAAAAAATACAAGTCGGCGCCACTGATGACTAGTCATAAATAATTTTATTTAAATCAAAACTTTTAAAGACTATTTGTCAATATTAAAAATAATTGTCCAGCCTTAGATGAAATTACAATTATATATGAACTATACCATGGGTTTTCTATCAATTTGCTTTTAGTATGATCACAATTGCAAAGTTCTGATGAAAATTACATACAGTATACTGATATCATAAAAAATATGATCATATAACCTCATCCACCAACAATAAGAAGTTTGATAATATCTAGAAAATCTAGATTTTTAATAGAAGTATTTTCAATTTTAAAATTAAAAGTTAAAAATGGTTAGATGGAAGATTGCTACTTAGTATTTAATTCTATATTAATTAAAAAATGTAGAAGTGCTTCCAATAGAGAGCTTCTCAGGGAAATTCAAGCTAAAAAAAAAAAACAAATGTTAACATTAATTCTTATTGTATATAAACTCAAGAGATTGTATTTTTTCTAAAAAAAGGTTAAGAAACAACTAGTTGGGGAACTTGATAAAGGAAAATATTGTGGGGTATTAATGCAGATAATCCTAATTTAGATATCTAAGTAGTAGTGATTTAAGTTTCAATTAGATTTTCTTTTAGTTAACAAAATAATTATATTAAGTACATTTTTTCCTGAAATAAAAAAATAGAATAAAATTGGAATTAAAACACGGTATATCACAAGTGAAGCTTCACCAAATGTGCAATGTTTTAAAAAGTTAGGATGCAATTTTGATGGAAATACCTAATTTAATTTATAAATATAAAGATTTCAATTTTTAATAAATAACTGTCATACTAGATGCAAATTATATGCTAAAATTGGTTTCATCTGAATAAACATAAATTTGAATATAAAAATTGTGAGATAAAAGGGAAGAGCATCAGTTCTTTAAATAACTTTCAAAATAATATTTATTTATATTGTTTATAAATTAACTCACAATATATTAACATATTAACTATAGAAATTGTGCAAGGTCAGTTTTCTGTACAATTACTAAACAATGGTGTTGTTGATGCAATCCAGTAATTACAAAAAAAAATTAAATTTCAAAATAAGGAACTTTTTATTGGTTTAGAAAAGTTGATAATTTAGTTACTATATTAAATTCAATACAACAGTTTTCAAAAGATTTTAGAAGTCCAATTCATTTTGAAAACATACAGATTTAATTAGAGCCAAATTTGAAAACATTCTATTTTTTTTTAAAGTTTAAAAATATCAGATATACAAATTTATATATGTGGTGATAAAAAATTGTTTTCTTTGGTTTTATTATTACTAAAGAAAGTACCTCAAATTTAACATATTAATCACTTAATAAATCTTATAGTTCAATTATAGTTCATGATTATTATTTATTACAATTACCGTTCTCAATGTTCAAATACACCTTGAGGCAGTGACACAACCAGGAGAGGGTCCCTGGGTCCAGACCCCCCATTGTTTATGTTGGTTATATTATAACAGTTAGTTTATCTTAGTTTCAATTCATAAACTTGAACATAACTTTTACCGTTATTTTTTACATAATACATTTAATTATCATTCAATTTTACATTATAATTATAATATTTAAATTTATCAAACAATAAAATAACAATTAAATTTGCTAGCTACTTTAAAATAATTGTATTATTGGACTTCTCCCCCTTAAAAAATTGTGGTTGCACCACTGCCTTGCAGAACTCTTAGGTTACACGGAACACACTTTGGGAATCGTTGGTATATAGTGTAATTGTGTGTATAGGTATTATTGTAATAAAATAAAACTGGATATGATAAGTGAATAATAAAGTAATAATATTATACATTAGGTGAAAATATATACCTAATTTAAATGTATACATATATTGCAAATACTTTATTGTTTATTTTAAGATAACTAAGTAAAAACCCTATAGTGGTAAACATAAAAATAAATAAAAAAAATAATAAAAAAATAAATTGTTTGTTACAAACCTTTTACAGCGAAAATACCAATGAGTATAGTATTGAATAAAACAAAAACTATAATAATAATAATAAATACCTATTGAGAGAAAATATTAATTTGTAAAACTTTTAATTAATCACGTTTATTGCGCTGTGCTCATCAATAATAAAAGACACGTGACAGGCAATAGACTCAGTAATTATATGACACATAAAACAACGACTCTTTTTAAACTAGTTATTACGTTTTGAGTTTTAGAACGGTTAAAAATTATGAATATAAAAATTGTTATCAATTTCTTTATAAAGAATTCCTTAGTATTATGCACGGATATACGAATGGATCTTCACAAGAAAAAACTCCGGATCCATGACGTCATTAGTTAATGTTATCAATATTGTTCTTATCAGATATTATGATGATTAAATGTGCGGCGATTTATTTTTGGAAATTCTTTTATTTTTTAAAAATGTTTAAATAAAAACAAAACATAATTTTTAACCTACCTGCAGTATCTACAGTCCTAATTCTGTATAAAAACGCGAAGGAAAATGAAGCTTTTTAAATTTAAATTTACATATTTAAATTAATTTAATTTTAAATTTAGGGCCGAAATTCGTATGCACCCCCAAAAAAAAATTCGGGCCGCAATTCGGAAGAAATTTTTACCACGGGACGCAATTAGTAGCCACCGGATATATCACCCAGATAACCCCCCGTAAATACGCCACTGATTACAGATATTATGTATACATATTAATTAATTAAAATAAAAGTTTTAGTTTGTACGTATTATATATAATACTTAATATTTATCAGTAACACCCCCCTTCAGAAAATCCTAGCTACGCCACTGAAACATGCATTTGCAAGACTTTTGCAAACAGTTGCTGTTATAAGAAGTTCTTTAAGTTGTTTTTTCAGCCATCTATTGTTGGAATGAGATAACTCATAATCACAAATTTATCTCCTTGAAGTACATCCAAAACCTGGGCCAATGGCTGCATTACTTGAAATAATATAACAGATTAATTTTAATTTCAAATATAAATTTTATACTAAGTAGTAAGTTAATTAATTAGGTATTGAAAAGATTTTGTGTAGGTGTGATAAGATTTCATGACTTTAATACATCATAACTTAACTACCTAGTAATTACTTTTATTAATAAATATACTGAATCATTAAGAGACTCCTCTGTAGTTTTTTTTTTTTTTTTTTTTATTGATGTAAAAAGAATATATACATAATCATTTTCTCAAACATGCAAGGCTGGGCAAGTGAATGATATTTTATAACTCAGTTAAGTTAAGTTAATTGAGATCATGTTCAATTAAGCTAATTAAATTAATGCTCATGAGGATTACACCAATTAAGTAAAAAATTAAGTTTAAAAATATTGTTAATTTAACTTAACTTAAATTAATAAGTTAAGTTATTTACAAAAAAAAAAAAAAGTTTAAATTATGTGCTGATATAAGTTATATATACAATTACAACATAACAATAATGAAAATCCAGAAAAATCTTATTAGACTCTAATTAGGAAGAGAAATAGGTATATATTTCTTTATTGGGATTGTTTTAAAGCACTCAAATGGCAAATTTATGGTAATTTATGTATGTTTGTTTTTATTCATTTTTCATATAAATCACATATGATAAATTTAATTAAAAAAAAGTATTTTTTTTAATGTTCAAAAACAGTATTAAAACTAAAAATAATTACTGCAGCTAAAAGGGCCACTATAAAATTTTACAGGCATTAAAATATATAGTAGATACAAAACATTAAAATAAATAGGTATATTATATTATTTAACTTTATTATAATCTAAATAAATAAAACAATACAATGGACAGGTAAACTAAAATATCAATTGAATCTTAATACAATCAATCAATATAATAAAAGTCATTTCAATATGTTTATCAGCTATTGAATTTCTTCTCTTATTTAATAATATCATCGATTATGAAATAATTTTAATAATAATTGTATTCTATAATCAATGATAATAAATAACTATTTTTGTAATATAGATCGCATAACGATGATGTGGTGGAAGAGAATAATATTTTGGAGTTAGTCTTAAATGTAATTTGTTCATTTAAAACATCACTTATTTCAATTAACTCTAATTCTTCTTCCTCTTCCATCTCCGCATTTTCATTTAAATTTTCAGACTCTGAATACACAGTAAAATAATGTAATATTAATTAGTTGGTAATAATGATTTGTTAGCATTTAAAAGCTGTTATTGTATTAAATTATAATATTATTATTATTATATTATTTTTATAAATTTTACAAAAGACATTATCAGTAACTATTTTTGTTATTTTATTAAAAAGTCCATATTCATAAATTACATCATGCAATATTTTAGCCAAGACATCAAATGTATACCTTTTAAGCAACGACAAGCAAGCCCAGCTGATAATCTCTGAAGAATCTCTGGATACTGTTATACAACATAAAGTCTGAAACAGAAATGATAGTTACATTTTTAATTTAAACAATTAAATTATTGATATACACCTATACAAATAATATTCATTTTTTACAGTAATTATTTACAAACCTCTAAAAAACTAACCAACAATCCGCTGTAGCACAAACATATTTAACTTCAGTAGATGATAATTGTGCTTTGAATTTAGCTTATAAATCGGCCGTAGTAGTTGACATTTTATTCATTATAGTTTTTCTAGATAAACATTGCCAATTTGAAAAACTTTTTGAATGATAATTTTGAATTTTTCCTCTTCAACAATATTAAACGCGTGGTTAGCATGGTTACCCATAATAATAATTGCAGTTACCATAAAATTTAAATTTTCTAATAAAATAAATAAAGATTAATTTCAAAGAAATAATTTATAAATATTAAGGTTCTACAAACCTTGACTAACTGGCTGAGGTCTTGAAAATGCATCCGATATTGTTTTTTTATATTATTGCACTTTTACACAATGGTCACAATCAAACTCATTATTTTTATGTTTATTAGAAGATTTTTAAATTTTTAAATCTGCTTCAAGATTTTTTACTTTGGAAGCATGTTTTGACTAAAAAATATATTATAATTAAACTATATCTAAAATAGAATGTAGTTTTTTTTATTTATGTAAAAATTTATAAAAATATAAAGCACAAATCGACAATCGTTACCTCAAATTGTAAAGGTTTGTCCAAAATGAAATTTTTTTTTAAGAAAAACGTTTAATAAATACAAATTGAAAATACTACACAATTTTAACTAACAACCATAGGTTTGCGCAGATTTTTTTTTCGCAGGAGATTCCTATAAATATATATTTAAGAAATAACTCAATTTTTATCTCCCTTCGAAAAAACATAAATTAGAATTTTTTTTTAAAAAAGTATTACATAACTAAAAAGTTCTCAAAATAATAATCAATATAAGTAAAAATATAATTTTAACTTTGCATTTTATTACTAATATTAATATGAATTTAATTTATGTAATTCTTCATTATACCTGGTTCTAATTTTCTGTCAAAAGGGTGTTTAAACTTATCAATTACATCGTTATAATTTATCTGTGATGCTAGTTTTTGTTTTACAAATATCAACATCATTCCATCCAATCTTTCTTGTAATAAGTGGCTTCTTAATTTTGTTTTTACCAAACATAGTTTGGAAAAAGCTTTTTCATAAGATCAACTTGTGACAGGAATGATAGTAAAAAGTTTCAGCGTTTTATGTACATTTACAACATTTTTACTTATTGATAATTTTTCTAACCACTGATAGATTGTTTAGTTTGATAGGCCTGCTACAAAATCAGGCAAAGAATGTAGAAATCTTAATTCACCTTCTAATTCGTCACTATTAAGTACAAACTTCCATGAAAGTAATTCTGTCAAATTTTTTAGTTTATAAATCTATTAAACAACCAATTGGACTAATTAAATTAAATTTTTCCTGATTAAATTGGTTTTCAAGACCGTTAAACAAATCATCTAATACAGTGAAGAAAACATGACATTTCATCTCACTTTTTTTATCCGTGATGGTATGTTGTATTTTCATATCATTAATTTTTGTAGAAACCTTCCTATTTTTCACACGTGGTAACTCAATATTAAATCTATTACAAATTGTAAGAACTTTTTCATAAAGCTTAGAATAGTTATCTTCGTCATTTCTTAACTCACTAATAGATTTTTTCAAAGCATTTACAATAGATACTGCATCTAATAAATTCAAGTTGGGTACTTGTAATTGAGCACTGACAATTTGAATTTGTATTAATTTAGGTTTTAAAATATATAATGCAAAAATAAAGTTAAAATTTTTCATTTGATAAATAAGACCATTTGCTTATGTCCTCACCTTTGAATATTTAGTGTTTTTAGAAATTTCTTCAAAACATAACAGAAGAGAAGTTTTTCTCTACAGCTGTAACAGCTTCCGCACGACATGCCCATCTAGTTGTTAAAAGTGTTTTGAGAGTTTTCAATTTGAAATTTGAATCATTAACAATTTGTTCAAAAACAGCATGCCTCAATGGACTCCTAATGAAACAGTAAATTAGCTGAACACATCCAAAAAAATCGAAAACAACCAGGTTTTTATTCCCAAAGCTATCAAGCAATATCAAATTTAGGCAATGGCCAAAACATTGTATATGCGAATAGACATCGCAGATAGACTGATTTCTTTGTTTTTATACTGTATACTATTAAATTTTCTACTCATAGCTGAAGCATCATCAAAACTTACAGCTATAACCGATTTCCAATTGATATTTAACTGCGCAATTTTGTTTGTTTAGCTATTAAATATTGTGTTAGCATCTACTGCAGTCAAACATTGAATACCAATAAATTGCTCAACGAACTTATATAAATCTTCATCAAAGTAGCGTACAACCACAGCCATCTGTTCATAATGTCCCACGTCACTAATTTCGTCGGCCATTATCATGACAAGATGATTGTTTATTTTTTTTCAATACTTTGTTTCATTACATTGTTGATAGATGTCAATAAATCATTTTGTATATGGTTGCTCAAGTACTTACCATTTTGCGGCTCTTTCTTCAAATGTTTTTGCAAAGTTAAATCATATTTTTTTTTTAAATTTTCACGATATCTAAAAATAAACCCTTACACACATATGAACTTTTTTCCAAGTGCCCACGAAATGGTTTGCGACTTTTGATTAAACACAATGTCATATCAATCAATCGATACATGATGTTACGATTGTGCAAACGCTAATTTTCTCTTTCACTAATAGCTACTGATCTGGATCATCCAAGGTAACACCAATTGGTGTACAATTTGATAAGTTATGATACGCTGACATGCTAAAATTATAGGAGATTGAATTTTGGTATTTTTTTAAAATTTGTAGTAAAAGTACTCTAATTTTTAAAACCTTTTTATGAAAAAGCAAAGTCCACTTGTCCGGCATTCAACCCTGGAGTTGTATTAAACATCCGACATAAGAAACAAAATGTTCTGTCAAATTTCACACTATATTTTAATTAGCTAAAATCATCATACCAGGAACTTTGGAAACTCCATGCTCTATTTCCAAACTTTGTCCTGGGAAACATTTTTAATTTTGGTTGGAATGACCTTTTAAGTATCCGTTCTTTTCGTTTTAACTTATCAGGAAAATTTCCTTTCTTTTTTTTTTTAGTCATAATTTTTCATAATTTGAAAAATATACTTTGAACTATTTATGAAGAGGGAGGAGGTGTTATATCTCCCTGACAATCCCCATGCATACACCACTGGTATAGATCTAAACTATACTAATAACTAGAGGAAGTACGGCCCAGTGACAATGGACAATATCCTTACAGATTAAAAATAAATAATAAATACAATAAAATTATTTTTTATTTATTATTCATTCTTAATCTGTAATAATATTGTCTATTGTCACTGAGCCGTATTTCCTCTAGTTATTAATCAATTTTAGATATGTTCTTGTGATTTTCAAAATAAATAGTAAAAAACTCAATGTTATATACTTCTATATTTATTTCTTATAAATGATACTAAATACCTATTTTAATTACGCACGTGCAGTGCAACATAGCAATTCGTTAGTATTTTTTATTTCCTGTCAATCATTATATCATGTAAATTCTACACCTATCTAATGTAAACATATAACATGTGACACTTGTAAATTTGTAACACAGGAAAATTTACCTACGTTCTACTTAATGTTTACATATAAACAAAGCAGTGAATTTTAGTTAAAGAGTAGAAAAATGTATAGTTATAAATATTTTATTTGAATATCAATTGAGAAACATGAGAACTATAATGTTTCATTGTATTTAAACTTCTTTATTGAAATAAAAATTATTTAAATATTGTTTTCTAATAAGTCTAATAATAAATCAATACCTAATTTCTAAATTCATTACAAGTGTAAAGTTTATAAGTGACCTCAATATGACACTATTACAAAAAATTAACCTTACTTTTTTTTATTTGAGGATATGAAATCTGTATCAAAATTGTTGATTTGGTGTAAGACTAAAGAATGTAACTCTTAGTATTTAGAACTATTTATATGAAGATTTAATATTTAATTTTTGTATTCTAGGGAAAATTTGTCACTTAATTTTTATAACGAAATTTGTGAATGTCAGATATAAGGCTCGTAAGTTCACGCATTTGAATTTTTTTTTTTTGTTACATCGGAAAACATGCTACGTGAGATACAAATGCGTTTCATAATAATGATAATAATCTAGGGGCATATTTAGACTTAATTTTAGAGAGGGCGACTTAAATTTTTTCTTTAATTCAGATTCAAAATTTACAAGTCAAATTTTGATAATATTTAAATCGGGTGAATCTTTAATATTTGTACTTTTTTTTTTTTTAATTTAAGGTCAGATTAAAAAAAATTTGTAATATACATCTCACATATAATAAATTCCTTAAATACGATTTCAGGCGGGACGATAGCCCCTTCGTCCCCCCTGAAATACGCCCATAAATGTGTCATGGTTTCTAATTTAAAATTGATCGTTGGTTTGCATATGATACCTTTAATCATAAAGTTTTACTCAAAAAGTTATCATGAAAATAACACTTTATTATTAGAAATCATTTTCATTTTTCTTAAAATTCAAATTATATAATTATTTTGCATGATTAAGAAAGTGCCAAATATTTGAAACAGTCTTCACATTAAATGCTCACCTTGTGTAATCAGATAACCACAAGGCCGTATTTTTGGAATTCATTAAATATTTTTGGGGAAGGTCCAAAATAAATCAAGTAAATAAATAAATTATTATACGTGTCCTTTATAATATAAGCTAATTTCTGAAGATATACAGGAAGACCTGATTCTTTTTTATGTACGGCCTTGTAGAAATCCGTTTATTAGTTGATAGCTATAAACGACAAACTATTCAATTGTAATTACAAATAAAATATGTTGAATATAATTATTATTTTTTACTTGTAAATCAGAAAATGTAAAAAATTTTTATATGGAATACCTACGTATGTATAAATATATTATATACTTTATATACACTGCCGTCTTGTAAGAAAAACAGAGGGTATATCATTACTAGAGCGCGGATTTTGATGTACTAAAAAGTATCAAAATATGTCATATAATATGTAGTGGAAATCGTACAAATATGTTACAAATACGCAATAAAATTTCAATTTTTATATCTCAAATTTGTTTATTTAATAAACAACGTATTTCTGTCA